TCTTCAGCATTCTGAAAGTTACAGGAAAGAGAGTATCTTTCTGGATCCTCCTCTAGGTACAAAGCCAGGAAAAGAAATGTGGTCATTGCCTTCTACTTTAAGATTTGAGTTTCAGCTGGTAGTACCTGAGTGTGTTCTGAACCCATTAAAAATATAGTTCTTGGTTGTCTTTTTGCCAAGTATAATTTCCCACAAGCTTTTAGAATCTATCTCCAGTCCAGCGTTTTGCAGAATTCAGTTACATAAGTTGAATCAGTAGCTTTACTAGGCTCCCAAATGATTGGCATTTCCATGGACACAGTGGAAGTTCTCTCAATTAAAATGGCCCCTGCAGGCTGGGGAGAGTCAACATATGATAATGAGTTTATCTAAGAAGCCAACTTCTCATTCTCTGAACTGAACCCAGTGGGAACCATGATCTAGGCATCTGGGAACAATTGGGATACCACCTTTTGTTGTTTTTGCCCTTTTAGAATGAAGTGTCTTGGTATCGTAGGCACAGGTGTGTTGATCGGTTTGTTTACCTGTTTGCTTGAGTGATCCATATAACTGATCATGTTACACAGGGAACTCTTTATTTACAGCTGTGGATCACAGAAAACATTTTGGGACCTATCTTATCTTTGCTCAGACTTGAATGTAAAGCACAAAGAATTCATTACAAAGAGGGACTATCAAGACTAGGGATGCAAGAATAGCCTAGATAAGTACCAGGAGGTTTACTCCATGGCTTGGAGGCCAGCTACACATGCTAAGGGAAAAGGCATCTCAGAGAAGGGAGCACCAAATAAAGGGTGTTGGGAGGATCTTCCCAGGATGGGAGAAGCATGCTGAAAGTAGACTATAGACCGAACATGATTGCCACTCAGTGCCTCTTTTGCAAACCACAGCACCCAAAAGGAGAGAGAGAACAAAAGGGAATACCCTGCCACAGAGGCAGGGTGGGATGGGGGGATGGGGGATGGGAGGGATACTGGGATTAGTGGTTATGGAGAATGGGCACTGGTGGAGGGATGGGTTCTTGATCATTGTATAACTGAAACCCAAGCACAAAAATTTGTAAGTCTACAACTGTACCTCATGGTGTTTCACTAATAAAAATTAAAAGAAAAAGACTAGGGATGACTCGGTGGCAACAGTGCCAGCCTTGCAAGCACAGTGCCATGAGTTTGGTCCATGGTGCCATCCACATGCAAAGTCTCAGTAGCTTTGCCCTCTGGGACCCCTGGTACCACAATAGAATACATGGTCCTCAGTGAGCTTTACAACCAGAACATGCACAAGCATCACAATTAAATAATGGGATTCCTGGCAAACTGTGACTAAGAGTGCAAGCACCACAATCAGATCTGTAATACCTGCTGTAATAACACAACCAATGCATATACAATCTGTAGTCTTCAAATTAATGACAAAGGAATGGAAAAGGAGGAATAACAATAAAAGGAGTACATAAAAATCATGTTAAGGGGCCGAGAGATAATATGGCCATTAGGGCATATGCCTAGCATGCATCTGACCCAGATTTAATCATTGGCATCATGTGGTTCCCTCAAACATCATTGGGATAGCTCTGGAGGCCGCTGATCATTGCCAGGATGACATGATGGTCAGCAGCACCTCAGAGCCAGAGCAGCACTTTATCCTCTGCCCTCATTTTGAACCTCTGGCTAATTTGGCTGAGTGCCACCAGGAGTTGTCCCTGGGCCTTCTGACCACTGTTTGGAAGGCTTCCCCCCCCCCCCCCCCCGAACAACAACAACAACTATAAAACAAGCAGCAACAACAAAAATTAAAATCATGTTCAAAATTGGAGAAGTCTTAGAAAAATTTTTGAAATTCTTCCTTTTCCATTGTTGTTGTCATATTAGGTCTTCACACTTTAGTCCTGCTCATGCACATTTGATTGCAGTGTGCAGTGGCACACTTGCGTGTACACTTAGTTGTCATGCTTGCGTGTACTGGTTATGGTTCTCCTGAGATTACATGTGTCCTTGCTGAACCGGGATATCAGATGGCAGTGCCCCTGGGATTGCACTCAGCATGAGAGATTCTAGAATTTGTGGCCTCATGCCTAAAAAGCACAGCCTCTTTACCTGAGTGCCACTGAGCTATATTTGGGCCACCTTCGTATAGTCTTAAGCTGAGAGGAATTGAAAAGTCATTGAATCCCGATTCCTGCGTAGGGATCCCTACAAAGCATCGCCCTTGGCAGCTCTCTCTGACGTGTTGATGGAGAGTGGTGGTAGAAAGGCCTCAGTTGAAATTGGCCTCTCTTCTCTCTCCCACCTATGCACCTTTTTGTCATTTGTGCAAGTAAAGAGCTACTGGTCCAACAATTAGGTTCTCTGTAAAGTTTTATGTTTCAAATGTTCTCAGAGCCCTCTGTCCCCTCGATGAGGAAATCTAGCACATGGAGATGCTAAAACTTCACACCATGTTAAAGGGTTTTTGTGGGAGAAACTTCTCTCCTTCCACATTGGGCTTTTGTTGCCTTGCTTTTTGCCTGACCACCTTCTTTGGCAGTCTTTGCCAGTGGTGAAATGGTGACTCTGTTTTCTGTGTATTTCTCTGCTTCTTTATTCCATGCAGTATTCAGTGTTCACACACAGTATTAGATCAAACCATGGGTCTAAGCATGTGAGGGTATGATTGTCATTCATTGGTGATGTCATCCACATTCCAAACTGCTCTACTAATGTCAGTTCATCCTCTGTGACTTTATTAAAACCCTTGACCTTTTCATTATATTTAAATTGTACAGTTTTAAAGCCCCCCTTTCCTCATTTGTTTATATTAATATCCTGTTCTGTTCACTTAAATGATAGTTTTATTCTTTTTTGCTGTGTTATCTGTATCATTTTTAAACTTAATTTTTCAATTTTCTTTTAAAAAATAAAAAAAATAGGCACTGTAGCTTACAACACCAATAGTGATAGTTTCTTGCATAACACAGTTCCTCAGCACACCCACACCAGAGAGCGTACTTCCTTCCAACATTGTCTCAGGGCCCCCATCATCCTGATTTGCTTCCCATCCCTTCCCTGGGGTGAGCTTCTTACTGAAGACCAGTTCTTGGTTTCTGTTGCCTATAATATCTTTATTTAATTTCCCCCCCTGGTATTTAAAAATTTCTACATAAACATGACTACTCATTTATTTTGGAAATTTGTGGTTTTTTTTTTTATCACTTTCACCCATATTGCACCCCCACCATCAACCAAACCACCAATCTCTTGTCTCTGTCAATGAACTATTTATTTTTTTTGAGGGGGGGTTGATAGAATTTTTTTCTTTTTGTTTTTTTTAAGATGTCACATATAAATGAAATCTTAGAACTGATTTGACTTTCTATATCTGATTTACTCCACTTATCATGATATCCTCACAATGTATCCATGTTGCTCCAAATGGCAATATTTCCTTTTTTGGCTAAATCTGTGTGTTTGTCACATATTTATGTGTGTGTGTCTGTGTGTGTATATATATATACATATATATATACGTATATGTATATATATATATATATATATATATAGAGAGAGAGAGAGAGAGAGAGCGCAATAGCACAGTGGTAGGATGTTTGCCTTATGCACAGCCGACCCAACCGACCTGGGTTCAATTCCTCTGCCCCTCTCAGAGAGCCCGGCATGCTACTGAGAGTATCTTGCCTGCACAGCAAAGCCTGGCAAGCTACCCGTGACATATTCGATATGCCAAACACATTAACAACAAGTCTCACAATGGAGATGTTACTGGGCCCGCTTGAGCAAATCGATGAACAGTGGGAGGACAGTGACAGTGATATGTAATATATACCACAATTTCATTCATTGACTTGGGTGTTTTTATACTTGACTGTTGTAATAAAGCTGCCATGAACATAGGAGTGCAGATATTTTTCACATAGGTATTTTTCTTGCAATATACACCCAAGTCACTAGTTGTGTCACAACTTTGGTTCTGTTTTCCTTATGTATAAAATAATGTGAGAGTCAAAGAGAGAGCTCATCAAGCATATACTTTACATGTGGGAGAATTGGGTTTACTCCAGTATCACATGGTCTTCTGAGTACTGCTGGGAGTGACAGAGCTGGAAGTAACCCCTGCATATTGCTGGATCTGGCCCCCCATATCACAAAAGTTACTTTTTAATTAATTATTTTTTTAATCAAAAGAAAACTTTCTATACTTCTTAAGTATTAGGAGTGCTTTGAAAGCAAATTATTAAATATTATTTCTTTATAGCTAATGATTCCATGATACTTGGGTATTTGATAGCTTAAAACAAATGTAATAAGAAAATGAAATGATAAAATCAGGTATTTTATCATACTTACAGCTTCTAAATAATGAAAATCAATAATTAGTAAATAATCCTAATAATTGAATGTTGGACAATTGTTGAAGTGGAATTTGGAACTGAGCCTCAGAGGGTCTTCTGTGAAACTGAAGGGGAAATCTTAGGATTCACTTACTTTCTGGAAAATTGCTTGCATCAGAGATTGACTTCGGTGCTAGCTTTTAGTTTCTAGCTCTATCAGGTTTTAGACAAATGCCAAGGACTTGAAGAAGTCATTTGTCTGAAATATCTGCTCTGGAATTTGGGAATACTTCTTCCAGGGTGTGGGGAAGGATGCCTTTCTCTTGATCTGTTTTTAACTCAATAACACGTACATTTAGAGCTATAGAAATCAAGACAGCATCCACATTTTCATGAGAGAGTAGATGACAATTTTTTGGGGGGCGGAGCGTCATTTATTTTCTTTTATATAGTTTTACCACAAAATGGAATGATGTAGACCTTGGAAGGAAACGAGTTTTTTCCACATGTTTTTGTTTTGTTTTTTTGCAATGTCTCTTAAGTATTGGTCACTACTAGTAAACAGATTCCATTTAGAGTTTTTTTCTCTGACGATAATGTCCTATTGTAATCATCTATTCACATTGGATAATTGACCCTGAACCCTGGGACCTATTGTATTCTTTTCTCCTCCCAGGGAGTTCTGTCCAACATCTCCTCCATCACTGATCTCGGCGGCTTTGACCCAGTCTGGCTCTTCCTGGTGGTAGGAGGAGTGATGTTCATTTTGGGATTTGCTGGGTGTATTGGAGCTCTACGGGAAAACACCTTCCTTCTCAAGTTTGTAAGTAACATACTCTGCTGTCAGTTTGAAATCACCTTACACCAGCAGGCTATCTTATGTCCAGGCAAGAATAAACGGTACCAGAGACACTGGAAAAATCTTGCTCAGGTGGTTCGTTTCCTTCAGGAAATACTCGAGACCATTCCAACTTGCACCAACACCTCCACGGGGGTTTTAATGTGTATGTCATGACCCATGTTTCAATCCTCAAAATACAGTTAGAGTTAAGGTGTGTGTACAAAATACATACCCATAAGTGATTTTGTTCACATGATTTCCTTCCCTTCACAGAGATGTCCAGATAGATGCTTTAGAAAAATTAGACATACTGGGGTTGTTTGGTTTTTCCAGATTACATTTGTTACACAAGTAAATTTAGTGAATGTGGCACAACAGTAAAATACAAATCACCCTTGTTCTCTGTTGGTACAAAGTTCTCCTTTGTGTGATCAGTGTTATTGACCCTTTTTGGGGTGTTTAATGGGAAGACTGTTGGCATGAATATTTTGGGAGGAAGTATTTTATCAGATTATAAACAGGTATAGCACAGCGGGTAGGGCGTCTGCCTTGCACGCAGCCAACATGGCCGACCCGAGTTCGATTCCTCCGCCCCTCTCGGAGAGCCCGGCAAGCTACCGAGAGTATTCGATGTGCCAGACACAGTAACAACAAAGTCTCCAATGGAGACGTTACTGGGCCCGCTCGAGCAAATCGATGATCAACGGGAGGGCCTTTACTTACTTACTTACTTATAAACAGGTATGACCAGGAGAGAAAAAAAGAGAAAACCTTTCCTTTGGAGAATTTTTCTTTTTTCTTTTTTTTTTTTCTTTTTGTTTTTGGGCCATACTCATCAGTGTTCAGGGCTTACTTCTGGCTTTGTGCTCAAGGATCACTCCTGGTGTGACCCTGGGGACCCTGCATGGTGTTGGGATGAAATCCATGTTGGCCCTGTGCGATGCAAATGCCCTATCTGTGGTACTATCTCTCTAGCCCTTGGAGATGTTTTCTTAATGAGTGGACATGTACGTACCTTAAATGGGTCTGATTTTTGTAACCATCAATCCACCAATGCCTGTGTGACTGGTAGTGGCATTCACTAATATTCTCCAGAATGGAAGGAGATAAGGCCACAGAGGCATGGACGGGACACTGTCTTTTTCTAGACTCTTCCCCAGCCTTTGTTGACACAGTCTTATCTAGGGATTTTTTTTTTAAAATTAAAGTAACGCAAGGTAGTTCTTATTGAACAAAACTTGTTTAGGAAGATGTGAGAGGAGAGAAAGTGAGGGAATGTGTTCAAGAGAGAGCGTGGGCCTCTCTAGAGTAGAAATAAGCAAGCAAAGAAACAGACAAGCAAGCGAGGTACCTGTCCAAGGGAGAACAGTTGAGCTTGAAGAGCAATCCTAGGGTGTTTCATTTAAAACCAGTCCTTAGAGCAGAGGTAGCACACAGTGGAAACCTCTCTTTCCCATAAGTCTGCTTGTGTTTTCTTAATGCCTCACCCCATTTTCTTGTTCTACACCCCATTATGACCCCTGTACACATACCAATCACTACACTCCTCACATAGGATCCTTCTTACACACAAAACCATTTCAATTCTCATTTACTCACACACAAACACAAATATGTTGACCTCATTCCTCACCTATGCATTGGTATCTGTAGCCCCCCATAGTACATCATCACTAATCATGGTTTGCCAACCCTTCATCCCTAATGCTTCTAGTTCCCCAGCTCTACACTTAGATCATACTTGCCAATTGCTGCTATTTTTCCACTTTTAGCCCATATATGAGGGATCCTTTCCATAACTTTCTTGTCTCCAGTTTAGCTTATATATGTAGCTCCTTTAATATACTTTGTTATTTTTGGAGTTGGAGATTCTAGGCTTCACTAAAAAGGCAGACATGCATACATTTTTTCTAAATTAGCTCCTTAATAAAAAACATCCATTATTGAAGATGAAGAGAACAGTACCATCTCAAAGACGAGAGAGAGAGAGAGAGAGAGAGAGAGAGAGAGAGAGAGAGAGAGAAAGCGCACATAGGGGAGGGGTTTCTGTACCCTGTACCATACCTGGTGGTTCTGGGGCCCATTTTTGGCTCGGCACTTTGGGAAGCATGCAATGTTGTGATCTAATCCGGGCTTCCTGCATGAAAAGTATGCACTCTAGTTCTTTGAGTTATCACTAGATCCCTCAAGGACCTGGCTTATTTAAAATGACTTATCCATTTAGTAGAAACAAGTACCGTGTTGTTTAGTACTCTTTGAGCAGAAACTATGACCTCAGACCCATGAGGAGAATGTGTAGATACATTATAATATTATAAGTGACACCTTATAATATTGAGATAATTTCTCTCCTTAGGGCGTTCGCCTTACAAGCGGCCAACATGGCCGACCCGAGTTCGATTTCTCCGCCCCTCTCGGAGAGCCCGGCAAGCTACCGAGAGTATTCGATATGCCAGACACAGTAACAACAAAGTCTCCAATGGAGACGTTACTGGGCCCGCTCGAGCAAATAGACAATCAACGGGAGGGCCTTTACCTTTACCTTTTTACATTACAAAAGTTTACTTAAGGTTAGGATCTGGGAGGGTATCAGCCAATGTCTGGAAGCACATTATGGACAGGCCAGGAGAATGAGGGAGGTAAATGGATAAACCAAGAAAGATTGATAGAGAAGTGCCGCTTCATGTGAAAAAGCCATCAAGACAATGTCTCGCCTTTGGAAATTGGAAATTAGCCCGCAGGGGCTAGAGCATATAAGGCTCTGACAAATATTCAATCAGAATTTAATTTGAGCTCAAATTTGGAAATGGATATTATGTAGTATTACAAGAAAATTTATCAGGAGAACTGGTATTACTTTTGAGCAGTCATATCACTTTTAACAGTGGGAATTTATTCTGAAAAAGGCACTGTTGAGTGATTTTTATCCTGTGCCAACATCATAGTATATAATTATACAAATGTAAATGGCACAGCCTATAGCACACTGAGATCTCTATGGCTTATCCCAATAGGTCCACCATCACCTCTAGCACCATTCATCGACCAGTTTATTGTTTTTTTTTTTATAATTCTTTCCAAATTATTTATTTATTTATTTTGCTTTTTGGGTCACACCCGGCAATGCTCAGTGGTTACTCCTGGCTCTGTACTCAGGAATCACTCCTGGCGGTGCTCGGGGGACCATATGGGATGCTGGGAATGGAACCCGGGTTGGCTGCATGCAAGGCAAACGCCCTACCCACTGTGCTCTTGCTCCAGCTCCAACCAGTTTATTGTTAAGTGACACATGACTGTAGTACAGTAGCTGTCATATTTATATATCTGCATTGATACTTAACAGAAAGAGGGGCTGCCTCATACTCTGGGGTGGACTTTGAATACAATTTTTTTGTCCTTTTTTCTAGATTGATAGAAGCTTACTATGAATGTATTGGTATTGCTAATGATAATTAAAAATGTTTAGGGCCAGAAAGATATTACAGAGGTTCAGTGCTTGCCTTGCAAACAGCCAACCCTTGTTAGATCCCCAGCACCACATATGCATGTTCCCTTTCATTGCCAGGAGTGACTCTGGGCACAGAGTCAGATGTAAGCCCTGAGAACAGCCTGTGTGGCCCAAAAATTTAACATTACAAAAGTTTACTGAAGCTTAGGATCTGGGAGGATATCAGTCAAGTGTCTGGCACCACATTAATCAGGAGAAATTATGTGTCTAAGGAGACATTCCTATTGTCTGTGTTTATTTATGGGCTTTGTTGGTTAATTACCACTGGAGCACTTCTATAATTATAAGGTTATTTTAAAAAAATTCTTTCTTGGACTGTAACATTCTGACTCAATCCTAAGAAACTGAAAGTGATATGCTTTGGACATATGTAACAGCACAGTGTAATTATAGACCTTTTGGAAGGAATCATTTCACTGTATATGATAAAAATAGCTTACAACTATTCTCTTTGTGTGTGTCTTTTGTCTTAGTTTTCTGTGTTCCTGGGAATTATTTTCTTCTTGGAGCTCACTGCTGGAGTTCTGGCATTTGTTTTCAAAGACTGGATCAAAGACCAGCTGTACTTTTTTATAAACAACAACATCAGAGCATACAGAGATGACATTGATTTACAAAACCTCATAGACTTCACCCAGGAATATGTAAGTTTAAATTTAGCCTATTTTCAATTTGGAAACCTTCTTGGAATAGTGTTCCCAGTGAACACTCCTCATTAGCTGGAACCTATCTCACTGACCTTGATGCCTTGGTTTTGTTTGCTTGTGAGTTTATTATTTCCTGTGTTACTCTATGATTGGATATCTGCACCCTTGCCTCACTTTCAAATAAGTTAAAGAAACCAGCAAGAAAATTCTTGAGCAGAAAGGTCATAATCTCAGTTCCTGTTGGCACATGAAGAAAATGGTTTTGCTATGTAAGTTTTACTTTGCTATTATATATAGGTTCTTTGCATTACTTTAAAAGTTATAATAATATAGCACATGTCTGCGATAGCACAGCGGTAGTGCATTTACCTTGTGAGCAGCCAGCCTGGCCGAGCCGGGTTCAATTCCTCTGCCCCTCTCAGAGAGCCCAGCAAGCTACCGAGAGTATCTCACCCATGTGGCAAAGCCTGGCAAGCTACCTGTGATGTATTCAATATGCCAAACACAGTAACAACAAGTCTCAAAATGGAGACATTACTTGGCCCGCTCGAGCAAATCATTGAACAACGGGAGAACAGTAAACAGTAAACTAGATGTTTTGGCACGTAGAGTTAAAACCGAGAGTGAGGGCCCTACACTCCCTGGCTGGGGTCTGCAAACAAGTGAAGAGACAACAGCATAGCACCACCCCACCAGGCGGGTGATGTTCCCTGCAGAGCAGATGGGTTGCAGGTACTATATAACTCAGAATCCCCGATAATAGAAGCTAAGGGTCAGCTAGATGATCTTGGACAAATTAAACCTTGATGTAGTCTCCCTACAGCTTAGTGGACATAACAACAACCCTGTTTAGGGCTGGAGGAACGGCACAAAGTGCTGTAGTATGTGCTTTGCATGCATGTGTTGGACTCTAGGTTTAAGTCAGAGCACCACATGATCCCATGGCACCTCCAGGAGTGCTCCTTCAGAAGGAGCAGCCCCATATACCACTGTGTATGGCACTTGCCCCACACCCCCACATACACACAACAAAAAAAGAAAAAGAAATGAAAGGAATAGCTATTTAATTTATAGGGTGTTTTGGCTCCTAATAAGATGTGTGTGATTTCCTGTTAGGCAACTATGATTTTCTAAATATGCTATTTTCTTAAATGAAATGGCAGGTGTTTATTCACGTGCACTGAAAGTTGGCACACACTGAAAATTGGCATAAGCTAATCACTTTAGACAGTGTTGTTCTTGGCTTGGATGCATGTGGAGGGCAAACAGAAACCCAGAGGACCCATGCTGACTTTTAGTTGCAAAGGTTTCCAGAGTCAGTAGAGTCCCCTTAGGAAAGAAGGAAAAGGGCCACAGCACACTTGTGTGGGGGTCGCTTTATGCTTGTTTTGTTTGGTGGCAGCAGACAGTCCTGGAATAACTGTGCTCAGGTGTGAAATGTCTCCTTTCATCATGGCAGGTTTCACCCTTTTATTAGGCCACATGAATGCAAACTTACACTTGTAAATTTGTCCTGCAGACTAGTCTTAATGCCAGATCTTATAGTAGTAGGCTAAGATCTTTGCTTTTTAGGCAAACCTGGATATGCAATGGCCAGGCCTTGGGAGAACTAGGAATTACAGGGAGATTTATAAACACCTCCATTGTATGTGGAAATACTCCTACCTCATGTGATTTTATCTTTCTGTCATGGAGTTTAGTGTTTTGAAGTAGAATTTTTATTCTTAAAAACCTTGGAACAGCCAATATTTGATACTTATTTAGCTCCAAGAGAAGACCTGTACCAGGGTGTGGAGACGTTTAATGAGAAAGCAAGCTACGAATCAGCCCCAGTTTAAGAAACTTTGCCTTTAATATCTCAATTTATTATGTTAATTAGATTATTACTTTTTTTAGTTGAAAGAGAAAAGACATACTTTTGTTTAAAAAAATTTAGAGCAGGGGCTGGAACAATAATAGTACAGCATGTTGGGCATTGCCTTGCACGTGGCTGACCCAGGTTCAATCCCTGGCAGCCCATATGATCCTTTATTTACTAGGAGTGATCCCTGAGTGCAGAGCAAGGAGTAAGGTCTGAACATTGCCAGGTGTGGCCGCAAAAAGCCAAAAAGTAAAAGGGAAAACAAAAAATCAGCAGAAATGTAGAATGAAGAATAAGTCTTTGCAACTTTGGAAGTAATGAATATATTATGGTGATTGTGTTGATGGTCACATGTCACATGTTAAAAATTGTAGTTATAGTATTCCATTGACAGTCAATGAAATTTTAAACCTATTCCGTTGTAGAAATCGAGAATATGCAAAGTGAGCCTCTCTGTCGTACTCCCACAACCACAGTTGTCTGCTTCAGACAGTAATTCTGTTGTGTCTGATTGAATTTTCCTATACATGCCCAAGCCAAGTAGATCCAGTTCTCAAGAGCCCCCTGTATTACTCTCTCTTTTTCGTCATAACATGCTGGGCTGTTTTAACTGTGCAAGTCTTATGCCAATACAGTTGTAAAAACCTTTAGCCTTAATTTCTTGGGACACATTTATTTTTCCTTTTTTTATAGTTTTATTTATTGAATCACCATGACAGCAGTTACAAAGCCTTCGGGTTTAAGTCTTGTTAATACAATGAAACACCCATCCCTTCACCAGTGCCCATTTTCCACCACCAAAAACCCTAGTATTTCCCCCATTCCACACCCTCCCCCTACCTGCGAGGCAGATGATTTCCACATTACTCTCTCTCTACTTTGATTACATTCAATATTTTGACACCAGACCCACCATTATTATTTGGGATTTTACCCCAACACTGAGATCTGCCGAAAAGGCAACAATAGACAATTTGTTTTCTATTGCCGGTTATGAATAACATATGATGTCGTGCAGCCGCAGTAGTGGCCACACAGTTTTGGAATTCCGAAATATTAACAATTAAATCTGGAGGGATTTCTGCCAAAACCTGTTGGGTTCCGAGATTTCTTCATGAATCTCTGGTATCATGGTCATTAAGCAGCTTGATCAGGAGCCAGAGAGGCCATTCGTGGGCGGTGACTCGGGATCTCATTGGGGTGGGGAGTAAAGGGCCAGCTCCACTCCCATCCTGTGAGGCCCCGCATATCTTGTCACTGTGGCCCCAAACCTGACTGTCCAATGACCGCTGGAGGATGGTGACCACCGAGCTGCCAAGGGGGAGCAGGCAGAGGGACAGCACCCTTTTCCCCCCTGGAATGGCCCAATGACAGTAACCTATTGCGGGGTCTGGACGTATCTCTGCCAAAAGCCACTGGGTTTCGATATTTGTTTCTGAGTTTCTGGGATCATGGTGATTAAGCAGTTCGATCAGAACCAGAGAGGCCTTGCCTCCAATTATATAGCTGAGCTGGGGTGTGTCTCCCACATACCTGACTTTTGGCCGTTTACTTTCTTGATAAACTTTGCCCCAAGTTTTTGGGGTCTGGCCAAAGGCACAGCAGCAATTTTGGGGTATCTAGAAATCTGAAGGCACCATCAGGCTGCTGATGCTCTCGCCTCACAGGTACAGATTGACTTGCTGGCAGCACCATACCCCCCTTCTTGGGACACTTTTATAGGGGCTGTTTAGCTTCAGTTTAGTTTAAAACTTCATTCTGGGACAGAGAGAATGTTTTGCATGGGCAGAAGCTGAGTATCAATTGCCTCTACTGTAAGTCCTAATTTTCTCCTGTTTGCTCTAGTGGCAGTGCTGTGGGGCTTTTGGAGCAGATGATTGGAACCTAAATATTTACTTCAATTGCACAGATTCCAATGCTAGTCGTGAGCGCTGTGGTGTGCCCTTCTCCTGCTGTACGAAAGACCCTGCAGTAAGTGACGCCGCAAATCTGTGCTTCTTGCTAGGAAGGATGGTGGTAGAGGGGATGAGCATGTTTTTTTGTTTGGTTGGTTGGTTTTTTGTTTCTTTGTATGGAAACTCTTAGCTGCTGTCCACACTTGTAGCTTTTTTAGGGGGGTTGGTACTCAGATCTTTCCAGAATGAAGGTTGACTGTGGCATTAGCTTTATAACATGTGCTGGCTCCTCATCTGTTCATTTTTGTGCATCAGCTCATTTCAGTTAAAACACTTATAGAGGCTGACACCACCATTATCTTCCCTTTTCAGGTGAAATCATGGCGTTTAAGTAAATTTCCCATGCTCACATTGCCAGACAGTGCATCTGTATGACCTGTAATTCCTTCTTTTGAGAAGGACTGGCTTGTATAAGAGCTCTCTGCAGTGGCTTGGGTTAGTAGTCCTTTCCTTCCTGGCTTAGTTCTAGGAAAAGTATCATGAGTTTGAGACAGCATAGGACTCGACTGCTATGAAAGAACATCACAGCTGCAATCTGTGATTGCAGCCTTCTGGGTTATAATCAGTACAGGAACTACAGTTTGTATTATTTTGTATGAAATACAAAAATAATAAGGGTAAGAAAGATCATCAAAGTGTTTGTCACTCCCATTCATCATGGTTTTAATTGTATTTGGTATACATTTAAAACCTGATATAAGAAACTACTTATGCAGCTCCACTGTTGTAAGTGAAATCCAGAGCTGAGAGTTTAGTGACAGATATGAGCCACATACCACCGTACCTGTCCTTTTCTTCCCCTTCTGCACTCTCCAACATGTGACTGTTGATCCTTCTCCCACAGCAGAGACTGCAGATGTTGAGATCATAGTGGCTGTTTCCTCTCCCAGTGGAGGGTGTAGGCCTTTTAAAAGGGGTTACAGTCTTGAGGTGGAAAAGCAGAATTTCCCTGAAGCTTCCCATGGTGTGTGGTTACCCCAGGCTTTTACTGTGTCTGAAAGAGATTGAGAGTCAGTGGGAGCTGTTCTCCCCTGGCCTTTTTCTACTGACGAGTTTCTTTCTCCCTCTCTCTAAGAGTCCGAGGAGAGCCATTCTGGTGTGACTCTAGTTCAACTCTATCGGATATTCTCATAGAATAATTTTGAAGATTCTCAGATGGCATTATGTCATTATGCCTCCCCCTTTCAACTATGGGTCCTTGGGGTAGATATTTTGGATTCCATAAATGCTAAGCTATAAAACCTGTCTCATCCCCTGTAGAGGGGAAAAATAAACAGTCCCCAAACAGTGGAATCCATGTTTCTTATTAGGCCCTGTGAGATACTAAGGTATTCGATGGCACAGTTTTGCCTTTAATTGTCAAAGTAATGCACTTTCACTGGAAAGAAATTTAAATAATTTAGAAGTAAGACTATAAAGGAGAACTCCATTATAAAGTATACACGTGAAGGTGGTCATTGTGCCCTGCATCCATGATCATATCTCTCTCCATTTTCCAAAGTCTGTAAGATTCTAGAGGAGATAACTTTTTATTTTTATTTATTTTCTATTTATTTTTTTGTTTAATGAAAACTCTTTGTTGATCTTGGAGATGACTTTTTAAATGTTGAGTCTCCTACGTATGGATTCTGATGTTTCCCGAGCCTCAGGTTTCCTCATTTGTAAAAAATGGTATATTTTAATATCTACTTTCAAGGGTTATTGTATTACATTGGCTTAATTATAAATGTGTTTAATATAGTTTCTGGGATGTCTGTGTGCCTATGTACCCTTCATTACTGGCATTTATATAATTAGAATCGTCTGTTAACCCTTCTGTGGACTTTCTAATATGGTTTCTCTTTTTTATTTTCTTCTCTAACCAGGAAGATGTCATCAACACTCAGTGTGGTTATGACACCAGGCAGAGACCAGTAAGTCCAATCTCATCTTGTCACTTAGCACAGGGGTTTTGAGGTCTTTGAACATGTGTGGTGATACTTGTTTTCTTCTTCCCTCCTGAAGGAAGTTGACCAGCAGATTGTAATCTACACCAAAGGCTGCGTGCCCCAATTTGAGAAGTGGTTGCAGGATAATCTGACCATTGTGGCTGGAATTTTCATTGGCATTGCTTTGCTGCAGGTGAGATGAGTGTCCCTTGTGGCCATGACAGGGAAATGCCCCTCACAGGACAGGGCTGGGTGACATACTCAAACCTCCTGACTTATGTTTTATTTAATCTCTGATTTTTGTTGCTACTTTGTGGAACATTTCAGAAAGAATTTTTTTCCTTTTGAAGATGTAAAGTAAGGGTCAAATTGGAAGTTTTCTCCTGGCATTCTGGTATGTCTATGGTCTCAGTCATGCTGAGTTGTGAGAGCCAGGCAGCAGGACAGTCACAAGGAGGCTCCCGTGGCACAGCCATAGCTCTGGAGTTTCACAGACATGTAGTTCCCCTTTCTCTCTCTGGATACTTTATCATTAGTGAGGGAAGGAAGCACCCATTTTTCCTCCCAACCAATCATAAAAGCTGGCCTTTCATCATTGGAGACATAACAGGTTTTTTGTTGTTGTTGTTGTTTTTTTTTTTTTTTGCAGGTGATATTGTGGCAAATGCCTGGTTTTTACATTATTATTATTATTATTACTGTGTCTGGCATATCGAATACTCTCGGTAGCTTGCCGGGCTCTCCGATTATTATCATTTTAATTTTATTGAACCACTGTGAGATAGTTACAAGCTTTCATGTTTGGGTTACAATCACACAATGATCAAACACCCATTCCTCCACCAGTGCACATTCCCCACCACCAATACCCCCGGTATATCCCCCCCATCCTCTCCCTGCCTCCATGGCAGACATGATTTCCCCATAATCTCTCTCTACTTCTGGGCATTATGATTTGCAATGCAGATACTGAGAGGTTAGCATGTTTGGTCCATTATCTACTTTCTGCACACATCTCCCACCCCGACCAACTCCTCCATCCATCTTTTTCTTAGTGATCCCTTCTCTATTCCAGCTGCCTTTTCCCCTTTGCTCATGAAGCAGGCTTCCAGCTACGGAGCAATCTATCTGTCCCTTGTATCTACTATCCTTAGGTGTCAGCCTCATGTTATGTTGTTTTATACTCCACAAATGAGTGCAGTCCTTCTATGTCTGTCCCTCTCTTTCTGACTCATTTCACTTAGCATGATACTCTCAATGTCTATCCATTTATAAGCAAATTTCATGACTTCATCTCTCCTGACAGCTGCATAGTATTCCGCTGTGTAGATGTCCCAAAGTTTCTTCAACCACTCATCTGTTCTAAGGTACTTGGATTGTTTTCAGATTTTGACTACTGTGAACAGTGCTGCAATGAACATATAGGTACAGATGTCATTTCTACTGTGCTCTTTTTGCATCCTCGTGATATAGTCCCAGAAGTGGTATTGTGGGGTCATCTGGAAGCTCAGTTTCTAGTTTTTGAGGGACTGTCCATATTGTTTTCCAGAAAGGCTGGACTAGCGGTCATTCCCACCAACAATGAGAGTGTCCCTTTTCCCCCACATCCAAGCCCGCACTGGTTGCTTTTGTTCTTTTGAATGTGTGCCAGTCTCTGTGGTGTGAGATGATATCTCATTGTTGTTTTGATTTGCAAGAGACATAACAGTTTTCTTAGAGAGTAATAATGGGGCAAAATTGATAAAGAAAGAAAAGGAGACTTAAATGGAAAGACATACTCTATTCACTGTTGGGAACACTCAATATTTTGAAGGTAGAAATACACCTTATATTGATATACAAATTTATTGATATTTATTGAAATCTGTAGCAGTGTTCCACTAGCCTTTCTTGCAGAATGGACAAGGTGATTCTCAAATGCCCATGGAAATGTAAAGCCCCAGAATATTTAGCAAACAAACCTAAAAGAGAACAGAGTTAGAAAATTCAAAGCGACTTCAAAGTGACTGTAATCAAGAGCATACGTGCCAGTGTCAGATTGGACTTATCAGTGGAATAGAAATGAAAGTTCAGGAGAAAAATTTTTAAAGATTTACTGATTTTTAGTTAGACTACAAAAGCAAGATCTGTCAATGAGGAATGAGTAATCTTTCAATAAACGGTGCTGAACCAACTGGTATCCATAGTCAAAAGAAGGAATTTAGAGCCCATACCTCACTTGATCACTTGACATCTCGTTAATCATTGATTGCTCGAGCGGGCACCAGAAACGTGTCCATTCATCCCCGTCGCGTGCTAGTGTAGCCCAATGGCGTCTGTTCATTCTAGGAACATGAAGAGACAAACCGATCGTTCAGGGTCTTGACGAAGAAGTCTGACCATCTTGTATGTGGGCAGCCACACGGTCTTTTGACATCCCATGGAATCCAGTCGGTAATGGCTCTAGTCCAGTGGTTGTCTCCAAAGCTCATTACGTGTCCAGTCCATCTGATTTTTGACACCTTGGCAAATGAGACAGCGTCCCTGATTCTTGATCGTCAACGGAGGTCAGAACTCTGGATTCTTTCTTTCATTTGAGTGAAACATGAAACTCCAAGCATGGCTTTTTCGTTTCCTCTTTGGGAGACCTGAATAGCGTTCTCATCCTGTTTTCGTAGGGCCCAGGTCTCTGAGGCATATGTTAATGCAGGAAGAACAATGGAATTGAAGAGATGTGCCCAGAGCTGGAGGTTCTTCATCCTCTTAGCTATTTCTTCTATACTCTTGAAGACGTTCCAAGCAGCTCTCTTCCTTCTGCGCAACTCAGGTGCCAGGTCATTTGTCATGTTGACTTCTCGACCTAGGTACACATAACTGTTGCATTCAAAGATGTTCGTCCCGTTGAGAGTGAATCAGGAATGAGACCGTTTCTCATAAACATTGTTTTTGTGAGATTTCAGCTGGAGTCCGACCTTTCCACACTCATGGTCAAAGTCAGCCAGTATTTGTGCCGCTTGGCTGATGTTTAGTGTTTTTAGAATGATGTCATCAGCAAAGCGGAGGTGATATAGTTACCAACCATCTATCTTCACTCCCATTCCTTCCCATTCCAGTCATCGTATGACATTCTCGAGGGTAGCACTGAAGTTTTGGTGAAATGGTATCACCCTGCCGAACCCTTCTCTTGATGTCAGTGATAACATGCCTGTAGAATGATGAGATCCTGGTAGTGAATCCACAATACAGCTCATGGAGGGCCCTGATGTATTGAGTTTGAACGCCCTGTTTGGCTAGGGCCTTGATGACCACTTCAGTCTCAATAGAATCAAAGGCCTTCTTTAAATAAATGAACGTTAGGCAGAGCAGCACCTTGAACTCCCAAGAAACCTCAAAGAGCTTGGTTATCGTGTGGATATGGTCGATCGTGCTGAATCCTTTTTGGAACCCAGTTTGCTCTCATGGTTGTCCTTCATCTAGTGTTCTCCAATCCTATTCAGGATGACTCAAGTGAACAGCTTGTAGATGACAGACAATAGGCAGATTTGTCAATAGTTGCCAATGTTGTGGATATTTCCGTTCTTATACTGTAGTACAGTCCTGCTGGTTTTCCATTGGGATGGAACCTTGCATTCAGACAGGTAGCGTGTGAAGAGCCGAGCCAGTGTATTAATGAGTACTGGTGGCAGGTTCTTAAGGAGTTTGGGTCTGACCTTGTCTGGGCCAGGTACTGTTTGCTTCTTTACTGACGAAATGGCGTGTCAGATTTTAGAAGGGAGAACACTGGGAACAACATATCCATCCTGTGGAATTTGCTATGTGGGCAGGTGGACATGACTATCGAAGAGATCTGAATAGAAGTCATGGATAATCTTCTCCATTGCCCTTCTGGAAGATGTGATAGATCCACCAGGACGTCAGAGGGCAGTCATCTTGGTCTTGTAGTTGGCGAAGGACAGTTGGGCATTGTGAATGCTTTTCCCAGCTTCTGCCACATCTGCCAGCACTGCTACTCTTTGCGTTCTTCCTTTATCGCTTCTCTGCACTGCTTTGCAAGCTCGGATGTTCACTTGCGGTTGCCTAAGGCTTGAGCCAAGCCACGTTGGCGAATGAGCTCAAGAGTTTTCGAATATAGATGTCTTTTTGTGGTTATCTCTCGGCATTCTTTGCACAGTCATGGAAGGTGCTGAACCAGTCGATCATATTCCTCGTCAGTGTTGTCAATGACAGCATTTTCCAGTGTTGCCGCAGTAGTGCCAAAGAGCTCCCAGTTGGTGGTCGTTCTGGGAGTTATCTTCTTAAACTTTGCAGCCCTTTCTCCCCGCTCTGTGAAGTAGAATTTTGCACGAAGGAGACGGTGGTCCAATCCCATTTGGAATTTTGGGACAACAGCAACATCGGTCAGGCAAGAACGTCGATTGAATATGATGTGGTCAATTTCGTTGTGGAACCGTCCACAGGGAGACTCCCATGTCCAACATTCAGATTCAGCCTTCTGAAATTTTGAGTTACCGTGGATGGTATTGGTCAACATGATGAACTCAGACAGTCTCTCACCCTGTTCGTTCCATTCTAGGCCATGGGTGCCAATGTGGAGATCTTAGGCTGATCTTCTTGGTCCTATCTTGACATTAAAATCACCGGCAATGATCTTGCAGAAGGTGTGGTCTTCTTTACCGAACTTCTCCAGCTTCATGTAGAACTTCTAAATTTCTCCATCATAATTGGATGTTGGTGTGTAGACAACGAAGATAGAAACTGCCGGCAGTGAGCCACATCTGTTCAAGTGTAATCATCCGATTCGGGTTGTTAGGCATTCGAACGAATCAGTGCTCATGGCCAAGTTCGTGTTGACAAGGTCACCGACACCTCCGATTCCTCTTTTGTCACATGTTTCGAGGAACAGTTCTTCTCCAGTGTCAAAAGCAGCATGATCTGATTGATGCCTTCTTGTCTCGGTCAGACCAGTGATGCTGTATTGATCTTTCGTGCTTGCAGCATCAGGTCCTCGATGGATGCATCCAATGCCAGTGTACATGTATTGAAAGTACAGACAGTCAAAAATTGTCCTTTGTTTTGGCAGCGTAGATCAGCCCTGAGATTTTATCAGCCTCTCCTTCCTCATCCTTCTTAACACTGCCATATTGGTGGCTCTTTTGCAAACCATAATGCCCCAAAATAGAAACTAAGAGGGAAATTGTCTGCCATTGGGGCAGGGGGAGGGGTGGCAGGAGGGATACTGGGGATATTGGTGGTGTTAAATGTACACTGGTGAAGGGATGGTTGTTCGATCATTGTTTGACTGAAACTCAATCATTAAAGCTTTGTAACTGTATCTCACGGTGATTCAATAAGAAAAGAGAAAATGTTCTGGTGTGCAAAATAAATCAGCATGAAAGTCAATGTACTCTTTCTTTATTTGAAATGTTCAGAATTGGCAAAGTCATTGGGACAGAAAGCTAATAAGAGGTTTGCCAGGAGTATAGAGGTGGGGATTGGGAGTGACCGCTTATGAGTAGTTTTCCTTGCATGCAGCTAATGAAAGTACTCTAGAATTAGACAGTAGTAAAGGAGCACATCCTTTGGTAACTGAAAATGCTGAGGTGTACATTAAAAATATTGATATTATAGTATAGGAATTACATTTAAAATTTAATACTAAAGTAGAACATGGAGTTCAGTAGCTCAGTGAAAGCTCAGTGATGTTAAGATTTCACAGTCTGATCCTTGTTCTTTCTTTCTCAGATTTTTGGAATATGCCTGGCTCAGAATTTGGTGAGTGACATTGAAGCTGTGAGGGCTAGCTGGTAAGCCCCTTCAACAGCTGTTGTAAGACACTGGACAGACCCAGTCTTCCTGACCCTCCAGTGTGCCAGTGACAACCTTGCTGCATGGACCCTACTCACAGAGGCACCCTGCAGTCCTATCTGATGGAGCTGCCAATAACTTGTTTGGGGGCAAGGTGGGGGCGGGGGCATATAAAACTGGGAAATGCTGCTCACTGACAGAATTTTTAAAAATACACATTTGAAAGTTACTGCGCCATAAATCTCTACTGTAGCCATGAATTTATGGAAGCCAGATACTTACCAAAAAAGGAAGAGGGAGGTAGGGACCCAGAAGTACTTGAATCAGTGGAAAACGAAGTCTTCTCCTCCACTTTGGTAATTGGAGGGCTGGGAGAGGAAGTTGTGCTCTCATCACACCTGGAAGGAGCTGCCTTCTGTTCCATGACCTAAAGAAGTGTACCTCTCCTAAGACTCAGTCCCTTGCTTGGGAGCTGTGAACTTTTGGCAACTCTCCGTCTTAAATTTCAAGGAACTGTTACAACTACCATCCCCAGAAGAAAACAGCTTGTGTTAAGAATCATATTTTGTGATTGCATTCAAGACATGACTCAGGTGGGCAGATTTGCTCTCTCCTTAGAAGAGAAGATGAATGTCAAATGCACTGAGCAAGAGCATTGGGATTACTGCCTAATACTGGATTTTAGCAGGATACATCTTTTTTAAAGCAAGCCTAAGCTTTACTTACAGATGAAATACAAGGAGAAAATGAGGTTAATGAACAGATCTTAGCATACCCTCTCACCCCACTGCCCACCAAATTACTTGTTGGGCTCTTTGGAAACTCTGGAATATTCTGGGGTATTGTTTGGTTAGGCTGTGGGGTTTTTGTCTCCCCAAAGTGAAAGCTATGATAGTTTCTCTTCCATTTTAAAGTGTCTTACTCACCTTGAGTACTGCTATTTTTTGTTTGTTTAATCTTATCTGCATGACCTGTGAATCTGAATCCACCAGCTCCATTTTCTGCCATTTCCTGCAGAAATTTATAAATGTGAATTAGCTTGTATTTGTTTTAGAGGCTCATAGTTATGAGAGGTGTGGTGTTCCCTTCCTGGATGGAAAGGAGTAACCAGAACCTCCACATCTGCTTCTGTAGCTGTGGTCCTTTATTACCCCTACTGTGGACCTCTCCACACAGTTGCCCCCAACCCTTTCTTTCTAAATGGAATTAAACCCAATCCCAAAACAGTGTTGACCAAACAAAAAGCATCCAGTAAGTCTTGTTTCTTCTTTCAGTTTTAAGCTTTTTTATTTTAAAAAATTAAAAAGCATGCATGGCCAGAGCACCTTTGTTCTCTTGGTGCAGACACACTATCATCTGGGTGATTACAAAGCACAACTACTATGAAGGAGGTGCATTGAAGGGTACATGTTCTGTGCCACTAGGTGGGAATTCGTTTTAGGTGCTGTTGATTATGACCCTGCTCCAGGTGAGAGGAATGAGTTTTGATGTTTGATCCAGCTGATGACCATCAGAATGCTGCTCACCAAGGAAGTCTGGCACATGGGGAAGACTTGGACATATTTACAGTGATGATACATTTGCCAACACAGGACTGGATAGCCAGCTCGCACGTGGTGTAGAGTTAGCAAGGTTTTCTATTTTTGCTCAAAGTTGCATTTCTGTGACTGATGAATGTGTCATTCTGTACTGAGAAAGAAAAAAAAAACTTCTTTGAAAATCTCATTTCTAGAGTTTGGGTGTGTTTATGACTTTATGTATGTGCTTTTGTGTGTCTATGCAATTAGGGATGTTCAATTCTTAATCCAGCTGATGTCAATTCTGGAGGGTCATTCCAAAAAAGAGAACACCTGAGTTTTACGGTGGGTCCTCTGTTTTATTCCCTCCTTTTTCAGTGCACCAACCAGAATCAGGCAAGATTCCCACACTTTGGTACATGTAGTGAAGTGTCAAATAGCAAGTCAACTGATTTCTAAGTTTTAATTAATCACCTTTTATTTTTTACACTTGAGAATGGTTGTAATAAAGGTTGTCGGTAATAAAGTTGGTTCTACCTTGTATGGAGTTATGCCTTTATTTTTCTTGAAATTTTGCAGTTCTCCAGTCCAAGTCCAGTCATTCTCAGAGTTTACTGTGCATCGGAGTTGCCTGGAGGAGTTGTTGAAAAACAAAACACCATGTGTGACCTGTCCTAAGAATTTCTGACTCTGTGAATCTGGGTTGAGAGTGTACATTTCTGACAGATTGCTGCTGCTTCTCTGGGAAGCCCACCAAGAGAGTTACTGCTCTGATCCTGTTCTCTTAGAGAAAGGGAGAGGGAATATTCTGTGGTTTGGGTTAGGAGAAGTTGCTCATGATGTTGAGAATGTGGTGTGAAGCCTCCTGAAGTTGAGAGGTGAAGCAGAAGTGAGTTCTCTGTGTATTGTACCAGAAATCCAAAGATTCACACGAGTTTGGGTAAAAGGTAAAGACTATTGCAGTGTGGAGTACAATGAAGGCACGAGGAATGCCCAGCTCTAACCCCTTTCTTTTTTCAGAGAATGTTTGTATGGGTAGAAATGGGAGTTTCAAACTAATATCTTCTTGGTTTCTTGAAAAATCAGGTGGTGGTTTTCAAAATAAACAGGTAGGGGCCCTTGTGGATATGAGGCTTCTGCTCATTTGACCTTCTGTATCGAGGATGTATTTTCTGTGGATTTCTTCCTTGTCAGGGACTTCAAGCTCTACTTTTCTACAAAGGTGACGTGTGTGTGTGTGTGTGTGTGTGTGTGTGTGTGTGTGAAGAGAGAGAGAATGTGCTTTTTCTTTGATTGCTGCTCTTTGCCGATTCAGTTTTAACCTATCTGTTACCACTGCAAAGTGAAATGTTGAGAGAGCTCTAGTAGTTCATTTCACTCCATTTATCATGGTGCCATCTCCCTGGGGTTATACTTTCTTTTTTTTTTACTTTTTTTGGGGAGTCACACCCAGTGATGCTTCGGGAGTTACTATTGGCTCTGCATTCAGGAATTATGACTGGCGGAACTTGGGAGATCATATGGGATGTTGGGTAATGAACCCAGGTTGGCTGCATGCAAAGCAAACGCCCTACCTACTGTACTATCACTCTGGTCCCTCCCTGGAGCTATACTTTGAAAGGCACACAAACTTTTCTCCCTCAGATCCTTCAGCAGGAACCACCCAGCTGAAACCTTGCTTTGGACAGTTTAATCGTAAGAATTGTGAATCAATGTATTCCTGTTGTGTGCGCCATCACCTCTTGTTTTGTTCCTGGCATTCTAGGAAATGAACACAGACACCCTTACTGCTGGTATTTAGGCTGCACGTGGTAGATCATTCTGAGACCCATGCACTATAATGGTAGAGTGGTCAGTGTGTAAGAGCTTTCATGAGTGTTGATACACTTCAAAATGGCGTGCACTGTTCTCTGTGCCTGACTTAAGCTCTTTAAAGAGGTTTGACATGTTTTGTAAATAATTTTAAACATAAGGAGTGTCATTATATTGCCATTAAATATGGTAGTGCTGTATTATTTATTTGAGGTCATCTCAAACAGCTCTTATACCTTTTGGTCTCAATCACTTTTTACTCCCTTAAAAACAGGTGTGTGTATGTGGGGGGGGGAGTGATGGTACAGTGGGTAGGGTGCGTGCCTTACATGCCGTTGAACTGGGTTCGATTCCTGGCACCCCATATGGTCTTAGCCCTGCCAGGAATAACCTTTAATCAAAGAGCCAGGAGTGACTCATCCAGGTACTTGCCTGGTGGCAGGGCCCCTTCCCGGGACTGCGTGTCTAACTACACCCCCAAGAGCGGCCAGTTCTCATCCTTGGTCTGCGGGAGACGGGAATTGAGGCACACTGCACGCACCCAAAGCTGAACTCGCGACCACGAGTTATTCTCCCCCTACATATCCCATAGGAACCATGTTACCCTCTTAGATTGAACTTTCACTAGGTTAGCTTAACCACCAGAAACATATTAGCAGATAATTCATTAAGCCCATCTCAATTAATTCTGCATCATAAGCAGAATAGTAACAATAAGCGTGAAGATCTAAACCACACAGGTCACAATGGTAAAGCAACGCAGAAGCCCACAAAACTTACTTATTGAGGAGGGTATCCCAGAAGACCCCAACAGTAATGAAGCCTTAGACAACCTCTCTGACAAGGAATTTAGAAGGGAGCAGCTGAGAAAGCTTAGGGAGCTAAAAGAAATAATGGAAAGCACTGCCAATAAAAGATGAGGATTTGAAGGTAGAAATGAGTAAAATGCAAACAAAATTACTTACAGAAATGTCAGACCTGAAAAACCTGGTAGGCGAATTGAAAAACTCTGTGGCAGGCCTCAGCAGCAGAGTAACAGCTGCTGAGAACAGAATCAATGAGCTCAAAGATGAAATCCAGAGACTCTCCAGAAAAGACCAGAAAATGGAAAAGAGACTCACAATTCGGGTATAAATGGCAAGAGGAGATCGTGATGAGGCCAAGAGGAGTAACATAGGAATTATTGGAGTCCCAAAAGGACAGTAAGAAAACCCTGATGAAGAAGAAACTGTCAAAGATATCATTGCTACGATGTTTCCAAAACTGAAGAAAACATGCGACCACGTTCAGGAGGCCCGAAGAGTACCAACTAGAAAAAATCCGAATAAAAATACCCCAAGACACATCCTGATCAAAATGATCAAAACCTTAGATAGAGACAAAATTCTGAAAGCAGCAAGATCAAAGAAGAAAGTTTCTATAAGGGAGCATCCTTAAGATTCACAGCTGATGAAACCCTCATGGCCCGAAAACAGTGGTGGGATATAATGAAAAAAAAAAAAAAAACGAAATAAATGCCTCACCAAAAATACTTTACCCAGCAAGACTCTCGTTCATAACAGAAGAAACAACACAGTTTCACAGAAAAACAACAGCTCAGGAACTTCATAGACTCATAACCATGGTTACAATAACAACTAAATGGGCTACTTTAAGACAAGATGGCCCCTCAGATACATCAAATTTCAACAGAAAAATGGGACAAAAGCCCATAACAATAATCTCTGTCAATGTCAATGGGCTAAACACACCAATTAAAAGACACAGAGTGGCAGGATGGATTAGAAAATTGAACCCAACATTCTGCTGCCTGCAAGAAACACATCTCGATTGTCAGAGAAAACACAGGCTCAAAGTCAAAGGCTGGAAAACAATCCTACAGGCAAACAACTCCCATAAAAAAAATAAGCTGGGGTAATGATCCCAGAGGCACACATACCAATCTTGGAACCCAGGGGCTTCTGGCAGTAATCCCTCTAGGTTTATTACTAAAATATAAGAAATCAAAATTCACGTGGCCACTATTGTGGCCATACGACATATATGCTCTTCATAATCAGCAATAGAAAACAAATTTTCTAATGATGTCTTTGTGGCAAGTCTGAATGTTGGGGAAAATTCCAAATAACAATGTTGGGTCTTTTGTCGTAATATTGAATGTGATCAACGGAGAGAGAGAGAGAGAGAGAGAGAGAGAGAGAGAGAG